GCAGACACCTGCCTGATTCATCTCTGTGTCTCCAGGGCTACATCTCTGGAAGGAAAAGTTTCTCGAACACTGTCATTAAGGCTCTGAGTGGGACAGTTGTGTAATAATATTTGCACATAAAATGCCTTGAGCTTTGCAGGTGATACATCGCATTCACCTTCTCTGAGCCTCAACGCACAGGTAGATGGGCACTATTTCCCCCAACTCTCAGATGGGGGAACAGAGGCTCAGAGATGGGCCGTCATCCAAGACGACTCAGCTAGAGACGGCAGAGCAACATTGGCCAGAGGTCATCCTGCCTCTTGTTTGAGGGCGTGGTCTGTGGAGGCAGCCTGGCAGATCTCCATTTGCTTAATGGAGCTAGGACTGGACCCAGGACAAGTTGTTCCAATGAGGCAGGAGGTTCAGGGCAGCCACACACGGATGCATGCCCCTTCCCACCCACACCTCTTCCCCAGAGCGATGACTTGTTGAGACACTTTCTCAGGCTTCGTTCCTCTGGACGGTGCCGGGTCAGGCCAGGAACCCACACTTGACCTCTCCTTTTCCTCCCTAACTGCCATGTGTTGCTTCCGGCTAACTCAGGCACAGCAGAAAGGCCAGTCTGACTCAGGCTGGAAGAGAGAAGGTATCCCGGGCCTTCCCTTTTGCCTGAGCTTCAGGTCAGATGCTCTAATCTCCCTTCTGTCCTCAGAGCCACCATTTCCACAGCAGACCTAGGTGAGCTGGGCAGTTTCATGATGACATAAAAAAAATATTTCTTTCCTGCAAGAAGCTTGAGTGTCATAACTAACTGGGCATCTTATCACTGAGGCTCTTCCTGCCTAAGGAGAGACATTTTATATGCAAAACTCACTAAAAAGAGTAGACAAAACAGGGGAAGGAAACCCAGGTTGTCAGGCACAGTCTGTTCCCCCCCCCCCCCACATCGCCCCTCCCCGTACAGACCTCTGGGGGGCAGCTCTGAGGGGCAACAAAAGCTATTGTCAAAGCGCGAGTTCTGGCCACAATCACCTCCATTTCTGTTTTTCTGCCCTTGCCCTCCTTCCTCTTTTCATTCTCACTTTCTTGAAAGCTTCCCGTTTCTCTCTTCTGCACACACCTTCAGTCTCCCAGTGAGTCCCCCAGGTATTGTGTGGCCCCATGGGGGTGCATTCAGTGCAGAAAATACTCTGATGTGTCCTGTCTGAGCCCCAGCTGACCACCTCTGCCTCCCTCTTGAACCCACTGTAAGTTCTCTGCTTGATGCTTTGAGCTCCTGAGTCTGTGAGTACAACGGGTCTGAAGTGTGAGCCAACATCCACTTAGGAGGAGGGAAACACCTGTGCCAAAGGAGCCAGGTCAATTGCTCACTCACAGATCACCTTTCTCTCCCGCCCTGACCACTCAGCTTCAGGCCTCCTGTGCTATTTTGACCATGGCAACTTGGTTTTACTGTTGTTGTTCCTGATCCAACTTTCTCCCTGTATGGGACATTGATCAAACTTCATCTTTAGTTTAGAACAAGCCTGACAACCTGTTGCCTGTTCTCGGTGATGCTTCTGCCTTGGTTTGGCATTTTCCACCAGGGACTGTCCCCAGCTCTGTTTAAGCCCTTTATATGACCTGAACTTCTTCTAAAACTAAGCGTGGTAATGTAGAGGTCAAGAGCACAGCCCCTACTGTCAGACTAGCTGTGTTTGAACCCTACCTCTGGTCACTTCCTAGTTGTGTAACCGTGGACATTTTGCCTTTCCGGGCTTCCATTCTCTTCTCTATAAGAGGTAGGGATTGTAATACCCATCTCACGCAGGTGTTGTAAAGATTCAGTGCAATGAGATATTGAAAGGACTTCTAATAGTGTCTGGGAGATAGACATGCCTCGATAAATATCAGCCATTATCCTTATTTTTATTTTCATTCATTTCCAAATAGGAAAAAAACCTTCCCTTTTTCCTAAGATCTGAAAATGTCTTCAAGAAATTTTTCATGAAAGACCAACCATTGAAGGGATCCTGGATTTCCCAGAGGTCCACGATAGGAGCCACATGGGATGGCTCTAATCATGGACCTCTGGGAAATCCACAATACTTCTGTTTTTTTTCAACTAGCTCAGAACTCAGCATGTTTTCTGTCCGTGAGCTATCTTCATGCCTGTACACTGATTAGGTACAGACGCATCTGCATTAAGAGTGATTTTATTTTCAGATCTACAAACAGCACCAGTTATCTCCCTTTACAAGGCCAGGGAAGGGTCATAAGGTCAGAGCTCTAGCACAATTCTGGAGACTGTCCCCCTGACCCAGGGAGATCCAGAGGTCTCTCTCTCTTGGCTGCTAATCCCCAACCCTCACATCCTTTAAGCCTACAGGGCCAATAGCGTCTAGAGATGACTCAATTGCAGAGCAGGGCTGGTTGTGTGAGCAAGAGGGACTGAGGCTGGGAGAAGAGGGAAAGCAGGAACCGGAAACACCACAACAGATGGAAACTCCTCTCTTGAGAACTTGACGATGAAGTTCAAAGGCATATGAGCCAAAACCTAAGTGGAATTTAGGCAGATGCTAAAAACCAAGGAGCCCAACTTGATAGAGCATAGAGCAGGCAGACAGTGTATGGGAAATAGATGGCAACAGAGATCAGACAGCAGAATAGTGTGAGAAGCTAACAGCAAGATGCACAGGCAGGAATTCTACTAAAGAATTCAAAGCTGATACCCCATGCCCCATACTCCTGTGTGATATGGAACCAACTTCAGGAAAGCCTAGAAACCAGCCCTAAGTGAGGGCTTCGGCAAGTGGGACAGAATTTGTAGCCTGCTGCTGGGGTTCAGAGCTAGGGCTCTAGTCTTCCCTCCCAGGTTCTAGAAGGTCAGGGAAGTGGGTTAGCGCCACAGGGAGCATAGAAGTACAAAGATACTGGGGCGCCTGGGTGGCGCAGTCGGTTAAGCGTCCGACTTCAGCCAGGTCACGATGATCTCACGGTCCGTGAGTTCGAGCCCCGCGTCGGACTCTGGGCTGATGGCTCGGAGCCTGGAGCCTGTTTCCGATTCTGTGTCTCCCTCTCTCTCTCTGCCCCTCCCCCGTTCATGCTCTGTCTCTGTCTGTCCCATAAATAAATAAAAACGTGGAAAAAAAAAATTAAAAAAAAAAAAAAAAAGAAGTACAAAGATACAGCACAGTGCTTTGACCTGAGCTTAGTGCCCTCTTACCTCTTGGCACCCAGTGTGGTTTGCCTTCCTGGCACCCATCCCCTCATTTTTCGTAATGGCCCTTGATAGTCTCTGGCCATCTTGTCTCTATTCTCTTTTTAAAATTATTTTTTTTTCAATGTTTATTTATTTTTGGGACAGAGAGAGACAGAGCATGAAGGGGGGAGGGGCAGAGAGAGAGGGAGACACAGAATCGGAAACAGGCTCCAGGCTCTGAGCCATCAGCCCAGAGCCTGACGCGGGGCTCGAACTCACGGACTGCGAGATTGTGACCTGGCTGAAGTCGGACGCTTAACCGACTGCGCCACCCAGGCGCCCCCATCTTGTCTCTATTCTCAATCGCCATGCTTTGTGTAGAGTCCCCACTTCCAGCTTTCAGAGTACACCATGTGACCACATCTGGCCAGTCACAGCACTGTACCTCCCTGGCCACTGAGATTGGTTCAGAGAAGAGCAGTCACCTTAGGTAGCTGGTGTTGCTGCAGCCATCTTGTCACCACGTGGAGCAGAGACTGAAGGATGAGAAAGAGCAGAGCAAAGAGGAGGGGCAGAAGAAGACCAGGTCCTAATGGCTTTGTTGGAGCCCTTGAATCCAGTCGTGCCCAGAGCTAGCCCCTGCCCCTGGGTTTTTCAGTTGCATTTATCAATAAATTCCCTGTTAGGCTAAATCAGTTTGGTTTGGCTTTTCTGTCACTTTCAACCAAGGCATCCCAACTAAAGGCTGAAAGAGTGAAGGGAGCCTTTTTCCAGACCCCCTTGCCCATTGATAGATTGCTGGGTCCTGGTATATTATGAGGCCATGCTCCCATTGGCCCAGGACCTGGGTAAAGCTCAGGCTATAGGTGACTGACCTTACTATGAGCACCGTAGCAGGCTTGGGTTGGCAGAACAACCCAATGAGCAGAGACACAGAAAACTAGGTTCTTCCTGATGTCTTATATTCTGGTTTCATATCTCCATCTGCCACTGAAGGAGTTTAGTAGGCTGCCACTATAGTTTAAAAAATTTTTTTTAATGTTTATTCATTTCTGAGAGACAGAGAGAGACAGAGAGTGAGCAGGGGAGGGTAAGAGAGAAAGAGAGGGAGACACAGGATCTGACGAAGGTTTCAGGCTCTGAGCTGTCAGTACAGAGCCCGATTTGGGGCTCGAACTCACGAACCATGAGATCATGACTTGAGCCGAAGTCGGATGCTTAACTGACTGAGCCACCCAGGTGCCCCAGGTTGCCACCATTTTGGACCATAATGGTTGCACTTCACCTTAAAAAAAATCTATATGTATCTATCTATCTATCTATCTATACATAAAAACTCTTTCTTGGAACACCTGGGTGGCTCAGTCTGTTAAGTATCTGACTTTGGCTCAGGTCATGATCTCACAGTGAGTTTGAGCTCCCGGTTGGACTCTGTGCTGACAGCTCAGAACCTGGAATCTGCTTCAGATTCCGTGTCTCCCCCTCTCTCTCCGTCCCTCCCTGCTCATGCTCTCTCTCAAAAATAAATAAAATAAGCACTTAACACAAAACAAAAAAACCACTTTCTTGCATGGAAGAACCAAGGTAGAGAAAAGTATAAAGATGATCCTACTCTAAGGCACGTCCCTGAGCTAATCGGAATGAGAACCCCAAACCCCCTTTGAAACTTTTTATGACAAATAGCAAAAGCATCCATTGCTGTTAAATCTCTCTCTACCGTTCCTTCACACAGGTCCCAAATTTGAGGACTTAGTTGCCATATGTATTAAAGTAGGGCAGCTGCTGAAACAAGACACCTCCAAATGTATAATGACTCACCATAACTTAAATTTATTTCATGTTCTCATAATAGCATCAGATTGGGGCAGAGTTCACAGGGCGGGCTTCTTCTGGGCAGTCGTCACTCAGGGATCCAGGCTGATGGAGGCTCTGTCGTCTTCAACACTTGAGTTCCTCTCAATCTCAGCCGGCTGGATGAGCCAAGGAGCTGCTGTGTGGGGGGCTGTTATGGGCCGGGCTTCAAAGTGATGCAGGTAACATCTCATTCCGTGGACTAGAATTCCGTTTTGTGGCCACAGAGAAATGCAAGGGAGACTGAAATGGAGTCTGTGTGCCCAGGAAAGAGAGGAAAACATGTAGCCATCAGTCACTGCTAGTGCGTTTGATGTTTTCTGAATTCTGAATGGTGCTTTGATCTCGCAGTTTCTTTTTTGGTTTCTTTTTGTGGATCTTTGCAAGGCACAATAGATTTGGGACTAGAAGACCAGCCCTTGAGAAGCTAATTATTTCCTCTTTGTACATTCAGCTGGATATTCAATGCATATTTGTTGAATGAATACGTGAATTCAAGAAGATAAAAAGAAATGGAGTCTGTTAAGGGGAATATATTGTTTATCAGACCCAGAAGTTTCAGTTGTTAACAACTGGGGGAAATGAGATAAAATTTGCTATTTAGCTCTAGAAATCTAATTTTCTTAGAATTTTTGCATAAGTTGTCTTACTTTACCATCTTAGTTTTAATAATATGTCAACATCATAGAAAGAAAAAATTTAAAGAAGTAGAAACAGATAGAGATGCTCTTTCCCATTAAACTCAACTATTATCGAGTACCTCTTAACTTTGGCAATCCTCTGCATGCTTAAGAAAACTGCATTCTCTTTTTCAGTGCCTCCAATATGCAAAAAGTCCTGGGTTCTCAGCTCATTCTCTGCTTGTCTCCTTCACAGCTGCTGGAGCTCAGATGTTGAAATTCCTCACCAGGCTTTGCAATAGTATAGCTTCCCCCTGCAATACTGAGACTTAGCGCTCCTTTTGAAACCATTTGAGGGGTGCCTGGCTAGCTCAGTCGGTAGTCAGCAGTTGGGGTTGTGAGTTCAAGCCCCACACTGGGTGTAGAGATTATTTTAAAAAATAAATAAATAAGGGGCGCCTGGATGGCTCAGTCGGTTAAGGGTCTGACTTCGGCTCAGGTCATGATCTCACGGTTTGTGAGTTCAAGTCCCACGTTGGGATCTGTGTTGACAGCTCAGAGCCTGGAGCCTGCTTCAGATTCTGTGTCTCCCTCTCTCTCTCTCTGCCCCTCCCCTACTCACACTCTGTGTGTGTGTCTCTCTCTCTCAAAAATAAATAAACTTAAAAAAAAATTTTTTTACTAAATAAATTAAATTAAAAAATAATAACAGTTTCTTGTTTAAAATAAAATAAAATAAAAACATTTGACTATATGCTTTTTTAAAAACGTTTATTTATTTGTTTTGAGAGAGAGAGAGAGAGTATGAGAAGAGCAGAGAGAGGGAGACAGAGTCCCAAGCAGGCTGTGCACCAGCAGCACAGAGCCCAATGCAGGGCTTGAACTCACAAACTGTGAGATCATAACTTGAGCCGAAATCAAGAGCCGGTCGCTTAACCAACTGAGCCAGCCAGGCACCCCTGACTACATGCTTTCTAAAGTATTTCCAATAGCTAGGGTTTTCCTAGATTCTTCCAACAACTCTGTGAAGGTGGTACGAGGTCATCATCATCCCTAGCCCCATAAGGTGACTGATTCACATCCTAAGGTGGGAGCAGAGCTAGACTAGACCCCAGTTCCTCTGCTTTTCCACTAACCCATCTCCTGAAGAAGTGCTGTTTTATTCATTTCCCATAACCCCCCCTCCCCACTCCTTCCTCTTGTTTTCTATTCCAGATAAGAAACGGGGGGGGGGGGGGGGGGGAGGTCAAGATCAAGATTAAGATATATCTCTTTTCCTCCAGTCAACAAAGTCTGTATCCGACCCCTAAAGCGGCCCCCCAACAATAGATGAGTAAATTGTTTGTTCATTCAACTTCCTGCCCACCTTATTTGTCAATAAGAAATTTGCATGAATTTTTCTCACGGTAAACTAAGAGGCTTTCCATTAGCATAGGCTGTCTCTACAAGGAGTAGAACCTTTCCCCTCTAAACGCTTAGAAACATATTTTGAATATAATACAGCAGGGTTTTGATTGGTTTTGTTTTTTAAGGTATGTAGTAATTTCCTCACTCCCGTAATTACAGTTGAAGTCACTTGTTGGCAATGTATCACTAGGGGCTTAAAGAAAGAAGCCGGGTTGATTTCCACATAATGATCCAAATAAAAAAGGCTGAGAAATGAGCCCTGAGCCACTAAGCCCGCTGCAGTGTACAAAACAGGTTTATGTTCAGAAGCGGCCACAGCGTTTCCCTGATTTGCGAGCATAAAAATAAAGCATTTTCCTGTGGGTTATTTCTAACCTGCAAATTTTTTCCATAGCCAGATTTGCCTTGACCCCAGAGGTGAAACTTTAGAGAGAAATGCTTTTCACTAGCAGTTCCCATGATGTTATCAATCCCATTGTAGGACCAACAATTAATTATAACAATAAGAAAGACATTATTCATCCAGGCCTCCCTTCCTGCTCTTAAATTCATAAAACTCCCTGCCACCTGGACAGTTGATGTGTGTGTGTGTGTGTGTGTGTGTGTGCGCACATATATGTGTGGCTTAAAATAACCTGATTACAATTATGTGTAAAATACACAGTGGAAAACTCTGGAAGAAAAATATCAAATACTTAAAGTAGCTATATGAATGGTGATATTAATGGGACGGGGTCTTTTACTTTATTCTCTTTTTCTAAAATAACTATATTGCAGTTTTATTACTCTTCTTTTTTTTAATATTTATTTATTATTTTCAAAAGAGAAAGAGAGAGACAGAGCATGAGCAGGGAAGGGGCAGAGAGCGAGGGAGACACAGAATCTGAAGCAGTCCCCAGGCTCTGAGCTATCAGCACAGAGCCTGATGAGGGGCTCAAACTCAGGAACCACGAGATCATGGCCTGAGCTGAAGTCGAATGCTTAACTGACTGAGCCATCCAGGCTCCCTTTCACCTTACTTTTCTTTTCTTTCTTTCTTTTTTTTAATGTTGTATTTATTTTTGAGACAGACAGAGAGAGAGAAAGAGAGAGTAGGGGAAGGGCAGAAAGAGAGAGGAAGACAGAGGATCTGAAAAGGGCTCTATGCTGACAGCAGCGAGCCCATGAAGGGCTCGAACTCAACTTGCAAACCTAGAGATCATGACCTGAGCCGAAGTCATCTGGGTGCTCAACCGACCCAGCCACCCAGGCGCCCCAGCGTTTTTATTACCTAAATAAAATTAATATCATTAATTCAATATAAAAAGTTTTAAGTATTTTACTTTTCACTATTTATTGAGTGCCTATTATGTGCCAGGGTTTGTCCTGGGGAGAACAAGAACCAGAACAGGGAGAATAAGACAGATACAGCTCTTTCTCTCATGGGAGTTCTAGTCAAAGAGGGGAGGCACGTCAGAAACAGGTAATTACATAAATTTATTAATTAATGTATTCACAAGTAGTCATTGAACATCTACTATGTGCCAAGATGTTTCTAAGCACTGTGAATCGGCAGGGAACGAAGCAGGCAAATGTCCTTGACTTCCTGGAGCTTATATTCTAATTGATTTACATATTGCTTCATTTCTTTTTTAAATTTTTTTTTCAACGTTTTTTATTTATTTTTGGGACAGAGAGAGACAGAGCATGAACGGGGGAGGGGCAGAGAGAGAGGGAGACACAGAATCGGAAACAGGCTCCAGGCTCCGAGCCATCAGCCCAGAGCCTGACGCGGGGCTCGAACTCACGGACCGCGAGATCGTGACCTGGCTGAAGTCGGACGCTTAACCAACTGCGCCACCCAGGCGCCCCATATTGCTTCATTTCTAATTAGCATGAGTGTCATGAAGGAAAAGTACAGAGGGCCTGCCTCATCGGAAAGACCAGAGATGATGTCCCTGAGGAAGTGAGATAGTTTCAAGGGTCTCAAATAAAATAGGGCTTTGTTTTGCCCTCCTGGACTGAGAGAGCTCTGCCAGACAGGGCAGGAGTTTCCCTAGGTGACTAAGTTCTGGCAGGTGCTCTGTGTCGAGGTCTGACTCTCTGTTCGTCTGCTGTGGAGGTGCCTGGTGCAAGAAATTCACACCCTTCCCCCCCCCCCCCCCGCCAAGATGCCAGTGGGGAGGGATTTGAAACCAGATTTTGATTAGCAGTCGCTGTCCATTTGTGCTTCAGCACATTGTGTCCACGAAGTCCTGATACAGAAAAAAGCAAGGCCATCCTTCCCTCGTAGTGCTGACAGTAACTAATGGACCTTCCTCTCCCAGATGGGAACACTGGAGCTGAGAAGACAAATCCAGCATGAGCCAGAGGGCCCTCTGCTTCGCGGGTCAGGAGAAAGCAACTGCTTGATTTCGGGTTTGCCCCTCAGACTGCAGAGCTCCGGGTCACCAGCCTAAACCGCTTAATGCACATTACGCCTGGGTCTACTTGGAAATGGCTGAAGGCACTTAAATGGAATGTCCAACCTTTGTCCTCAGCCCTGAAACCACAGGTAAGTATTTAGGTCTGTGTAGTATCGATCATGCCTCCCACTGGCACCAGGAAAAACGTTGTGAAGCAAGTCAACTTTCCAGTGACAAGGAAGTCATTCCCCTAATCCACTCTCACTGGACAATCAGGTTGACAAAAACCATTAAGTTTTCTGAGATTAGAAATTCACTGTCAGAGGGAGCCGTGTATAGAGTTTTCCACTCCATTACACCCAGGACAATAACCAGAGGCCAAGTGACAGGAAAAGGCTGGGGTCTGTCTTTTTAAAGTTTCCTGTGTCCTTGGGTGGAGGGAAATAAATTAGCAAGTGCCTCCCTTTTGTAGGACATGGGATATATATTATCTCATTAATCAACGCAACAGCCTACGAGGTGCATTCTGCGTATTGCATTTGTCAGAAGAATAAACTGGGGCTCAGCAGGTTTGGGTTGCTAGCTAAGATCACCCTGCTAGTTACGGTGACGTGGGGCTGAGAATCAGAATCATTGGGCTGGAGGGGTCTAGAGGCTCTTAACTTTCTTCTAAGCAGAACCACACTTTAACCATCTGGAAAACTGGTTCTGTCTGAAAGATCCCACTGTTCTGTGGCAACTGGAAGCAGGCTGGTTCTGTGGCAAAGACCACAGACTGTGGCAGATTCATATCCATATGTCCGCCCCGCCTTTCACTGTGTGACCTTGGGGAAGTTTCTTCACCTCTCTGTCTCCTTTTCCTCCTCTAGTCATGAGGAGGTGATAACCTAAAAACCTTAGAGAACTGATGTTGTCCAGTAAAGGTGTTACAAGTAATTCCACTCAAAAGCATGCATTCTAGATCATGTATCAGCACAACTTTTCTGTAAAAGACCAACAGGTAAAGTGCTCTCTGCCACATTTACTCAACTCTACTAAGCACGGAAGCAGCCACATATAGCACATAAAGGGATTGGCATGGCTGTGTGCCAATAAAACTTTATTCATGGACACTGAAATTAGAATTCACCTGACTTTCATGGGTCAGGACACATTATTCTCTGCATTTTTTTTCAACCATTTAAAAATGTAAAGGCTTTCTCAGCTCCTGGACCATACAAAAGCAGGTGGTGGGCCTGGTTGAGTTCATGGGCTAAGGTTTGCCAATGCCAGCTCTCCAGTGCTACTCAAGGGCGGTCCAGGGATCAGCAGCCTCATTAACACCTAAAACTTTGTTGAAAATGAAACTGCATGGGCGCCACCCTAGACTTGCTGAATCTGAATCTTTAGGGAGAAGGAGCGGGAATCTGCATTTTAACAAGCTCTTGGCTATTTTCACGAACACTGGAGTTTGAGAATCACAGCTGTGGATGAACTCATACACATGTGCGCAAGGATTTACATACACGAATATTCATAGCCACATTATCTGTAATAACTTCAACCTGAAAAGAACCCAAACGTCCAGGAACTGTAAAAATGTCTAAAAGCAGTAAAAGAGATAAGTGGAATAATATTCAGGAATGAAAACGGACAAACTAGAGTCTTGTGCCATATGGATAAATACTAAAATGATAAATACTAAAATGATGACATGGAACACACACGGAAACAGATCCAGACACAAAAGAATATGGACTCTGTGATTCTATACAACAATATAAAGTTAAAAAATAAGCAAACTAGGGGCACCTGGGTGGCTCAGTTGGTTAAGTGCCAGGCTCTTGGTTTCGGCTCAGATCGTGATCTCATGGATTGTGAGTTTGAGTCCTGTGTTGGGCTCTGTGCTGACAGCGTGGAGCCTAAGCTTGGGATTCTCTCTCTCCTCTCTGCCCTCTCCCACTGTCTCTCTCCCACTGTCTCTCTCTCTCTCTCTCTCTCTCTCTCTCTCTCTCTCAAAATAAATAAATAAACATTTGTTTTTATTTTTATTTTTATTTATTTATTTTTAAAAAAAAAAATTTTTTTTTTTTTAACGTTTATTTTTGAGACAGAGAGAGGCAGAGCATGAACGGGGGAGGGTCAGAGAGAGAGGGAGACACAGAATTGGAAGCAGGCTCCAGGCTCTGGGCCATCATCAGCCCAGAGCCCGACGCGGGGCTCGAACTCACGGACCGTGAGATCGTGACCTGAGCTGAAGTCGGACGCTTAACCGACTGAGCCACCCAGGCGCCCCTAAACATTTGTTTTTAAATAGGCAAACTAAATTATACCATTTTGGGGTGAATACCCAAATGACAAAACAGTAAAGTGAGGCAAAGCAGTTATACTCATTAAAGTCAGGGTCGTAATCTTTGTGGGGAAAGAAGGCAGTATGTTTAGGAAAGGACACATGAGAGGCTTCTGGGGGCTGGCAATGCCCAATTTCTTGACCTGGGTGATTGCTACACACATGTGCTCACTTTCTGATAATTTGTTTAAGTGTGCATTTATGTTTCGTGCACTTTTCTGTATGTGTGATGCATTTCACCATAAAAAAAAAAAAAATTAAAAAGAAAAATCCTGCCAGGAATGGTGACTTTCTGAGCTAGCCCTGTGTATGGAACCTGCCAGACCCACTTCACACCTTGACTTCCCGCTTGGCCGATTCCCTGTAGCCCACCCAACTGCAAGTTGCAAATTTATAGGCCAACTGAGCCCAGATGGTTTCCTGTGATAGCTGCTAGGGGCATAATAATGAATACACGTCTCCCCACACGTTCCTGAATGCGTTTTGGCAGGATTTTTACTGCAGGCAGTAAAACCTTGTTACAAAGTCCCTCACTGTCTCAGGGGCTTGGCCACGTTGCGGTTGAGCCATACCACCTCTTGTTACAGGCAGCCCGTCATCCTTGTCCCACATAGCATCCTTGAGAGCTGGCTTTCTCTCCCTTGTCCTATGAGGCTGTTTGATTGATTGTTACTAATAATCATTGCATTTCAGAAACCCAGATTCCTGTCCTCACAGCTGGAACTTCCTCTTTGCACTAATTGGAAAAACATCCTCCGGGAAATGGGGCATCTTTATTGAGTCAATCTTTGGCGATGACTATGTCAACTGGCGAGATGAAGTATACAGCAAGGAAGTGAAGGCTCTGAAACCCTCCAGGGCACTGGTCCCAGGTCTCAGTTGAAGAAGTCAGGCTGACTTGACCAGATCCCTGTATGGAAAAACTAAGGGTCACGTTAGGGAAGGGCCAGCTTGAGGGGCTGGGGTCGATCCATAAGTTCAGGAGCCATCCCAGCTAATGGTCCCCCAATTTTCTTCCCTTTCTTCCCTGAAAATTAGCTGCATAATTAAGACTACATTTCCCAGACTCCCTTGCAGTTAGATATGGTCATGTGAGCAAATTATAACTAATTAGAAAGCAAGCAGAGGGGATGTACGAAGCTTCCATGAAGAGCCATATGCATCCTTCTTTTCCCTTCCTTTTCTTGCTTTCGGCTGGAACGTGGCTGGAGATTTAGCAGCCATTTTGAACAATGAGGTGACTTTGGAAGTGGAGTCCACGCCAACGGGTGGCACAGCACTGTTCCAGCCTTTGACCTGCTTCCTGGACTCTTGCAAAAGAGAAACTTTTAAATCTTGCTTAAGCCATTGTTTCAGGAGATTTTCTGTCACTTGTAGTAAGAACCTAATCTTAACGCCTATAACAGCATTTTTTATAATGGTAAAGAAGTGGAAGCAACCTCAGTGGCCCTTAAGAAGGGATTGGTTACATTTGTTCCCTCATTTGCTTACTCATTCGTCACATTTGAAATGAGTGTCTACCCCATGCTTGGCGTGGTTTCAAGCACTGGGGATATAGTGGTTAAAAAAATGTTGTCTCTGCCCTCAAAAACTTTGTTGGAAGAGGAAGCAAAAGGCATAAATAAATGGACAACTAAAATATAGCTTAATGAGTGGAACCACAGAGACCGAGTAGTTTAAAAAATAGTATAATGAAACAAACAGAAGGTTACTGGAGGGGTTGCCGGAAGGGGGATGGGCTAAACGGGTAAGGGGCATTAAGGAATCTACTCCTGAAGTCATTGCTGCACTATACGCTAACGAATTTGGACATAAATTAAAAAAAATAAAATTAATAAAAACATTATAATGAGATAAGGAAAATGTTCATGGCATATTGCTAAACAGTAGGTTAATAAGGTCATACACGGTGAGTCTAATTTGTAAAACATATATATTTGCATAGAGAAAAACCAAAACTGATGTATAATTAGTCTGAACACTTTGAACAGCATTTAGCAAGAGACAAATAAACGGTTAAGGAGTGAAAGGTTTTATTTCAAGGTGGAGGGACTATTTTTGTCCCCCTGTATTTCTATATGCTTTCCAAATGCTACCCGCATAATATGGATTACTTTTGTAATAAGGAAAAAATACCAACATGAGGAAACAATGTGCGTTATGAAGTTCAGGATCAAGACGAAATGTGTAGGGTAGTGATTTCAGTGAGATTGCAAACTAAGTTGTGCTAAACAGTCTTAAAAAGAAACTCGAGTCTGAGGTCTGAGGTTGGCCTCTCCCTAGGGGGAGGACACTAGAAGGGTCTGGTTCTCCGCCCCATGTACTGTCTAGAAGCATGCAAAGAAGTTTGCCCAGGGCTTTGTTCTACATTTTTAGTGGGGCAGGGCCCACTGCAGCCAAGTTATTAAGCACTAGCCCTATCACTTCTCTTCCCATGGCTCCTCTCTGCTGGGCCTCTTGCCCAACCATTAAAGCAGCTGTTGTTGTTTTGTAGAGGCTAATTAACTCCACACTGCATGAAGCCAGACGCTAATTGGCCCACTCACTTAATCAACTTTAATGTCTCTCTTCTGGTGGACCCGGCTGCTGCTTTTTGTTCCCCTGATCACCAACAAACGCAGATCCAGGGGAGTGGTAATAACGGCCTCCGGTGGGCACACGCAGCCTTGACCCCGTCCCCTACCACAGAGTAGGGGCAGAGGGTCATTCCGACCCTCAGTCGGCTCAGTGGATGTCCTCCCAAGTTCACGACCACTGGTGCATCTTGGGACCTGAGCCTATTGCCTCTCTTCCAAACATTGCACGGTGATATGAGTCATCAGATGGTTGGTTCCTCAAGAGGATTGACCTCATCGCTGTCTGTTGCTGACACAGATTTAAGACTCTAAAACCTAACTAACTCACACAATTACTGCAACTACACTTTCCTGAGTGTCTTGGGTGCAGCAGATGCCGTGGCACGTCCTTTCCAATGCAACGTGAACACGACGCGGCTCAGGGTAAGTAAGCAATACGTACTCTTCACCAAATGAGGAAGAAACATCACTCGTCCCCATTTGTCAGATGAGGAAACTGAGGTAGTAATAGTATTTACAAACGTGATTGAAATGACACACATGCTCATTTCAATCATAGCCCTGTAAGATTAGGACCAAGAATTGTTATAATCCCCATTTTGGGTAGAGTTTAGAAACTTTGAGAAAGAAAAGTGACTTTCCTAAGAGATCACCAAGTATGGTGGACAGAATAATCCCCCCCCCCCAACACCACCTGCCAAGACGTGCATATCCTAATTCCCAGAACCTGTGAATATGTTCCTTACAGGGCAAAATGACTTTGCTAATGGATCAAGTTAGGATTTGGAGATGAGATTATCCTGGATTATCTAGTTGGGCTGAGTATAATCACAAAGTTTCTTGTAAGAGGGACACAGGGGGCTATGAATCAGAGACAGAAGATGGGAGAACAGGAGAGGTCAGACAGGAGAGAAAATGCTACACTGCTGACTTTGAAGACAAAGAGGGGGCCACAAGCCCAAGATTGCAAGCAGCATCCAGAAGCTGGAAAAGGGAAGGACATGGATTCTCCCCTGAAGCCTCTGGAAGCAACACAACCCTGCCAACACCCTGACTCTAGACATCTGACCTCCAGAACCGTAAGATAATAAACTCATGGTGGGTTAAGTCACGAAGTTTGTGGTAATTTGTTACAGCAGAAATATGGAGCGACTACTGATTTTGTTACAGCAGCAACAGGAAATGAATACGCACCATAAATGGAAGAATTAAAGGGCTTGAATTTAGGCATCGTGATATGAAATCCCTTTCTGACTGCAGTGACAAGATTTCCCCATACGTGATCAATATGCGGTGATTTTGAATGCTCGCCTCCCGTAAGATGAGGATAAACGATGCCTGTGGGTCTGTGGGCCTGGCTTCCCCCTGAAGGCCAACATGCCCTCTGCCTCCTTCCCAGTCCGCTCCACGCTTCTTGCCCTTCATTTCCTTCCTCTTCTTCCTCAAGCATCTGAAACCCAGCTGTACAACGTATCTCATCTAGGGGAAACCATGGTTCTGTCTCTATCTGAAGGTCAGCTTTGACCAGGGCAGGATGCGTCACAGAGCTTGTGGGAGTTTGGGGTTTGGGAGACTGTAGAGCAGTGTGGTTAGTCTCCGGCATTTGGATTCTACCTACCCACTTACTTTCAGCGTGCCTCCATTTCGTCTTCTAATAACAAGGTGGTTCTGAGGATGAAGTGACACAACTCACGTGTCCCACTGGGCACAACATCTGGTAATGATAAATACTCACCAGATGTTGTCAGTGATAACACCAACACAAACTGAGCTCCAGACTGGCAGAACTCCACGCCTTGCTCCTAGAGCCATGGTTCTCAGACTGCTGAGACCGCATCATCAGATGGATGGCATGCATCGGATTTATCTGGAAGGGATGGCCTCCACTTCCAGAGTTTCTGATTTAGTAGGTCTGGGGTGGGCCCTGAGAATCTGCATGGCCCAACATTTCCAGGCAATGGGGATGTTGCTGTGCCAGGGATCATACTTTGAGAACCACTGAGTCAGGGTTCTCAACACATAGAGTCAGGGATTGTGCCTTCCATGCTATTTTCCCCTAGCGCCCAGCACAATGCCTGGCATATAACAGATACGTGACAAATATTTGTGGCATGAATACATTTTTTTCCACTGTCTTCCTGAGGCTTTAAATGTCCAGGAGGCTGCCCTTTTCCATAAAAGAATTCCATTCTCTATCTTTTTTATCACCATCATATTTACTACAACTTGGTGCTGACAATCTCCTCTTCATAGACTCCCTGTTTTCCCCTTGAATACCCTCCATTTCCCCAGTGAGTGTCTCTCCCCTGGATCTCAACCTTTTCCATTAACTCCATGCACTGCACAGCCTGTTCCAGGACATCAAACTTTAATTTAAACAGAAAATAATCAATAAGCTTAGCAAATTGCCCATGGCAACCTCTGCTGAGTGAATCAAAGGGTTTTATAGGTAATTTAAAGGGTGTCCTCACTTATCCCTCAAGGTAAAGCTTAGCACATTGACAAGGGCCCTTTTCCACTCTGGCCCAGGATGCTCTGGAAGAAAATGGAGGAGAAAGGACTTAGGTTCTGGGGTTGGGGGGGTGTTTGGACCAGGAAGGAAGGGTCTGTTTTTAAGCACTGACATCTGATATTGACCCCCATGTGAGTCAGGGGTTTTCATTGTCACAGGCAACAGAAACAGACTCTGGATAACTTCAGAAATAAAAATTACTGTCAGGCTATGAAGTGTAATTGATGAAAAAAAAGGCTAAATATCTGGTTCTCAGAAATATTAGAAACCGGGGTTTTCTCTCTTGAAGGTGTTATTTAGGGATGCACCTGTGTGATTTTCTGTCTTTGTGTATTTTGACCCAAGATTCATATTCCAAGAGAGCATCTGAGCAGCTTGACTGGGTCACATGGCCCTCTCTTGACCTGGAAGGACGGGGCACCATGATGGACGGTTCCACTGAGAAGGGAAATGGAGAGGAGAGCTAGTTCTCCAAAGGAATACAGAGGTAGAGTAACTACAGAAGGGGACGGCAAATACATATTTCTACTATAGAACTTTGTTTTTGACTTTGTGGTTTGACTGATTGTTTTCTCCAAACAAGAGTGGCCAATCTAACAGTGTTTTATGAGATTGTGGGGCCTGTGCAGGACTTTGAAGGGCCATCAAGCGCGTGGCTTGGTTATCTACCCAAGCCAGAGAGCTGTCTATCATTTTCTGAGAATCTTCCCAGACTCCTCTGAGAAGATGGTCTAACTTTTAAATCCTTACAAACAAGACCAGTTCTCTCTTCCAGGGAGATATTAAATACCCGACAACCAGTATACCATGGGAGTGAGCTAACCAAAACTGTAAGAGCGGTAAACAACCCATAGGACCAAACTGATCCACGCCAACCTACCGTCTGTCCAGTGTCTCCTTAACCTAAGTGGGACGTTGAAAGCCTGTCCTTCTGATCTCTACAATAGATGCCCATAACAGCTCCTCATTCCCTGGGAGAAGTACCGGGGTCTTCTTTCCTGAGTTTTCACAGACCCATGGCTTTGTCAGGGACTTGAAAATTTAGTGTGCCAACTGTATGATGGATGCTGCCTTCTTAACAGAGCTGCACTTAAATGCCATGCAGTCTGCTGCTTTTTCCTGTGTATTAAACTCTGGAGTCATCCTGCCTGAGTTTAAAACCCAGCTCTACTACTTACTGGCTCTGTGGCCTCAAGTAAGTGGTTTACCCTCTCTGAGCCTACCTCCCCACCATTTTCCCTCCTCCACTATCAAGCAAATTCCAGACACCGTATCATTTCATCCCTAAATACATTACTAAATGATAAGGACTCTTTTTAAAAGGTAACCAGAGTACCATAATTCTTTTATATCATCAAGTGGCTGTTCCTCATTTATGGTTCTTATAGAGTATCTTAATTGTTTTCTTAGGAAAGTAGTAATTTCTTTTTTCCTCAACATAGTACCATAAGCATTTTACCATGCTGTTAAATATTCTTCTAAAATGTAATATTTAGGGGCACCTGGGTGGTTCAGTTGGTTAAGCGTCCGACTCTTGATTTTGGCTCGGGTCATGAACTCACAGTTTATAAGTTCAAGCCCCACATCAGGCTCTGTGCTGGCAGTGCAGACCCTGCTTGAGATTCTCTTTCCCTCTCTCCCTGCCTCTTTCTGCCCCCCCCCATAATAAACAAATAAATTTAAAAAACAAAATAAAATGTATGATTTAAGCATGCATGATATTAATGAATCAGTTAATTTATTGAGCCAATCATGATTTCAGATATTTATGTTATTTCCAAATTTTCACTATTAAAAAAGGCTCTGATTAACATCTGTGGTAGACCCTGGATGTCTCAAAATATCCATATTCCCCTTATTCTTTAGGATAGAACCCCAAATTTACGTGGTGTGACAAAAGATAAGCTAAAAAATTTTCATTTCCCAGCTTCTCTTGCAATTAGCTGAGGCCAAATGAGATAGAAATAGACATTACATGGGGTCTCTGGGAAGGCTGCTGGGAGGAAATTGATTGGGCTGGTAAGTGCTTTTTTTTTGCCCTCCTCCCCCTCCTTCTTCCTGCTGCCTAGAACACAAGTAGAGTTCCTAGTGGTCCAACACCATCTTGAACCATTAAAATGGAAGATACACTCTAAGGTGACAGAGCAGGAAAAAAAGCAGCTTGAATCTCTAACGACCCTCAAGTCAGAGGTCTGTTTCCCTCCAGACCTCCTTTAGGTGACAAAGTAAAAACTCCTTTATTTTTTTTAAATTTTTATTTATTTGTTTTTGAGAGAGAGAGAGAGGTGACGGGAAGGGCAGAGAGCGACGGGGAGAGAGGGAATCCCAAGCAGGCTCCGCACTGTCAGCCCAGAGCCCACCGCAGGGCTTAATCTCACAAACCGTGAGATCAAGACATGAGCTGAAATCAAGAGTCGGACGTTCAACCAGCTGTGCCCCAATAATTCTTTTATTTAAGCCACTGGAAAAGTTCATCATTTAGCATGAAGCCTTGAGACTGGCATATGCTGGTCTTCACACATGGTGTGGCTGGAGCAGAGTTATGGAGTAAAAAAGGAGCTATACCTATGAGGTTGGAGAGGAGTCTGGCAGGCCACGGTGAAGATATCCATCCTAAGTTTGCTTACGTGCCTCACGATGGCATGAACCTTCTAGAGTTATTCCAAGGGAGTTACGTGATGGTATCACCACATTGCCTGCCCCATGGCAAGCATTTACTACGTGGTGGTTGTCATTATTGTTATTACTAATGACAGGGCAATAGTGTTGAAAGAGAATGGGACCAGGAGTCAGAGAAGTAGGGCTCCATTACTGCTTTTGGAAGTTGCCAATCTCAAGACACTAGCCAAGTATCTTTGCTTCTTATGATTTCAGTTGTGTCATATGTAAAATGTATACAAGACCAGGTAGATGACTGTCAAATTTATGTTAGCCTCAAAACCTGCTGCTCAAATGGAATACTGAATAAGTCAAACATGCCCCACAGACACAAGCAGGGTGATTGTGGTAGGGGTGGACGTTGCTCAATACTGTTGCTACCTGCTGGGTCTTCTCTTCCGTGGTGATCCCTCAGGAGGCTTCTCAAGGCGCTGCTTAAAAGCCACTAGACTGAGGGGCACCTGGGTGGCTCTGTCAGTTCAGCATCTGACTTCGGCTCGGGTCATGATCTCACAGCTCCTGGGTTTGAGCCCCGCATTGGGCTCCGTGCTGACAGCTCAGAGCCTATAGAGCCTGCTTCGGATTCTGTGTCTCCCTCTTTTCGGACCCTCCCCTGCTCACACTCTGTTCCTCTCTCCTTCAAAAATAAATAAACATTAAAAAATGGTTTTTAAAAACCACTAGACTGAGGCTGGACATCATTAGACACTAGGGAAATGCAAATCAAAACCACAGTGAGACAGAGCACAGAGGATTTTTAGGGCAGGAAAGCTACTCTGTATGATGCTACAATGGTGGTACAGGTGTCATTGCACAGTTGTCAAAATCCAGAGGATATACAACATGAAGAGTGAGCCCTGATGCAAGCTATGGACTTTGAGTGATGATGGTGTGTCAGTGTGATGTCATCAATTTTGGAATGCACCACTGTGGTGGAGGGTTTCGGTAGTGGGGAAGCTTGTGCATGTGTGGAGGCAGGGGTAGATGGCAACACTCTGGACTTTCTACTCAATTTTGCTATGAACCTGAAACTGCTTTAAAACATTAAAAATTAAATTTACAAAATTTAAGTTTATTAATTTAAAATATTTTTCGTAAAAAAAAAAAACACAGCGAGATACCATTTCATACCCACTGGGTGGCTATAATTAAAAAAAAAAAAAAAGACGGAACAAATGGTGGAAAATAACAAGGATTAGCAAAAATGTGGAAATTGGCGGGACCCCCCCCCCCCCCGATTTGCTGGTAGAAATGTCAAATGGCTCAGCCACTTTGGAAAACAGATCAACCATTCCTCAAAAAGCTAAACAAAGAATTACCAGGTGGCCCAGCAATTGTACCCCTACGTATATGCATAAAAAGATTGAAAACAAGTATTCAAACAAAAACTTGTATCCCAATGTTCATAGCATCACCATTCACAATAGTCAAAGGCAGCAACAAACTGAATGTCCATCAGCAGATGAATAGATAAATAAAATGTGGTATATACATGCAGTGGAATATTATTCATCAGTAAACAGGAACAAAGTAGTGATACAGGCAACAGCATGGTGAACCTCAAAAACATCATGCTAAGTGAAAGAAGCCTGACACAAAAAGTTGTGTATTGTACGATCCATTTACGTGGGATATCCAGAACAGGCAAATCCAGAAAGCAGAAAGCAGAAAGCAGGGGTCGCCAGGCGCTACAGGAAGGGGGTAATGGGCAGTGACTGCTTCATGAGGATGGGGCTTCCTCTGGAGTGATGAACATGTCCTAGTACTAGACGGAGGTGATGGTTGCAAATGTTGTGAATGTATTAAATGTCTTTGAATTGTACACTGAAAATGATTAATTTTATGTTATGCAAATTATACCTCAGTTTAGAAGCAAACAAACACACACCAGACTAGGAGTTCTCTAAATCCTTTCCAGTTCCACTGCTCTTGCTGTCCTGCCCCATTGCCACATATTATCTGTAATCTTGAAGTGGGTTGGTGCATGCTAGTTCCCAAGAAAGAGTACCACAGTTTATTTTGCCCAGCAGCCCTTATCACCATTATCCCCTAAGCCGTGAAGTGGGCTCTGAGGGGAAAAAGCATCCAGTAAAGGTAAGTTTTAAAAGGTTAAAGTATAGGGGGCACCAGGATGCCTCAGTCAGTTAAGCACCCAATTCTTGATCTCAGCTCAGGTCTTGATCTCAGAGTCCTGAGTTCAAGTCTCATGTTAGGCTCTGTGCTGGGTGTGAAGCCTACTTAAAAAATAAATAGAATAAATAAATAAAAGGATAAAGTACAAAAAGAGCCAGAGTATGAAACACAAACAAGGTATGAATATAGCATAAGCAGGGTGGGGGGTGATAGGTACTGTAATGGAAGGTCCCTGAATTTGCCAGCCTATCTCTGGGAGTGATGGAAATAATTGTGCAGTTGGAGGGTTAAGTAGCAAGCTATTCCTACTCAAAACCAAAGGGTTGGGCTCTTCATCGCTTATAAAGATTGAAAGAAAAGACTCTCCAGGGATTTAAGTGGTCTGCAGAAGGATCGGTAGAGAATTCTAGACCTATGCTGTCCAGTGTGGTAGTCACTAGTCACATGTAGCTATTAACACTTGAAATGTGGCCAGTCTGAATTGTGGTGTGCTGTAGGATAAAATACATACCAGGCTTGGAAGACTTATTTCTTAAAAAAAAAAAAAGTAAATATCTCATCAATAATTTTCATATTAAGTCTATGGCAAAATGATCATATTTTAGGTATATTGGATAAAATAAATATATTATTAAAATTAATCTTACCTGCTTTTTAAAACTTTTTTTATGTGGCTATAGAAATTTAAAAATTATCTTCGTGGCACTCTATTTTGCGTGGACAGCACTGCTCTGTGGCCCATTGTACTGCTCCTCCAGGGCAGAAGTGGCGCTGTCCAGGGTCTCTTGGCAGAGACTGCCCAGCATAAAGCACCATCTGGGCATTCAAGCTCCCCAAATAACTGCTGGGGAAATGTGGGCATGTCTTATCCCAAGACGGCATAACAAACAGAACTCATTAAGCAAAGCAAATTTTGCTTGTGGCCTGGATACAAACACAGGTGCAGTGAAAGCTTCAAGTCCTTTTAAAGCAACTCCATTTTCTCAAAAGGACAGAATGGTCATAAGCATAGCGTCAGGGCAGAAGGGAGGTCCCACCATGCCCTTTCCCAACATCTCAATATGTCTCTCTCAGCGTCCCAAAGGGTAAATGGAATAGCATTTTTTAAATTGGCCAGGAAAATTGTGCAATGTTTATTCAATGGCAGAGTAAAAATGGCACATTTGCTATCAAGATGGAAAACAAGAACAAAGATCCAAATAGGCAGTCCCTCATACCGCCATTTTAGTCACAGTCGACCTGTGCTTTTGGCAGTGTTACAAAATGAAATAAATCCCTTTATAATCCCTCACACTGGCTCCAAAAGAAGTATTTTCACAAGCACCAGAGCAGACCCTTTGGGCATTTCTTCCTACAAATGCTCATCCCTGCTCAAACCTCTTCCCCGCCGCCCATCACATCCTTTTACAAAATGGTGAACTGAAAGGACTCTAGTGCTGGTTATGTCATGGGGCGAGGGGGTCAGAAGGAGGGAAACAGAGGGAGTGGTCCAAACAGGAATCCCTCTCACAAGATCAATATCCTCCCCAAACTCTCCATAACCCTTCCTAGGTCACTCAGCTTTGTCGGTTTCTTCTTCCAACCAACACATCAAATTTCCTATTTTCTGCCTGGCAACATTCTCTTGCATTGATGTTACTTAACACTTCACATAGTTTTTAGTGTCTTTGAGTAGCAGGACACTTCCCCTCAACCCTCACCCCCATACCTAGCTCAGTATAACTTCACGTA